TCTGCCCAATCTGTCAAAGAAATTTGAAAGTGTACTTTAACATGTTCAGGTGGAAAAGATAAAAAGGTCTTAAACCCCACTGCCCTTCTTAAAAGAAGTCTAGAAAGCCTGGAACTGATCTCACCGTCACTTCAGCTTTCTTAGTTGTATACATTGAAAACTCCTTTTCATCATGCACTTTTACCATACCGCTCACCTGGCTACTTTAGGTGATGGCTTTAGAACAAGATTAATGATGTCTTGAAAGTGTCATTGTTAGACACAAACAGGCTACTGGGAGATTATCCCAGGAGGAAGACATCATGTAAATCTCCCCTACAGTGTTTGAGTGGTCTTAAATGTACTTATTCAGGATGAATTCTACATGTCACCTTGTTCCTTACAATCTGATGTAGAGGTAAACCCCGACACAAAGATTCCCAAGATCTGAACACACTAATGAAAATCCAGATATGAACTTGAGTTTCTTCCATTTCCATTCACTACACAATCCACAGACTAGAGACTACTAAGGAAGTATATCCTCTCTATTTTTCCCATTGTGCCAGCAGGATCATCCAAAAGGAGACTGTACTATACCGTGAGCTTTGGCCCATTGCAGGTTCCGTGCCAGAGACTCCGCAGAAGATACGGTTTGTTGAATGGGGTCAGTTAACGCCCTTTTCTCAGATAGACTGCTGCGGATCTCCAAGGCTTGCTTGCCTTTGGTAAGGTGACACTTGCCCATATCTAAAAATAAGATGCATATAGTTCTTTCAAAATCAATGCTGCTGAAATTCTAACTGAATTAAGCAGATCACCACAATGTTGTGTGGTTGCTATGGTTATGTGAGTGTCAGCATGTCCATAAAAACCTGCATCTTTAGAAGTATTCATTGCTCAGCTATTCATTCACTTAAGGCTAAAACAGCACGCCAGGTGTCCGCAGAGCATCCTGAGGGCTTTGCACGCCTCCTAGTCAACGTGCTCACATGTTTTTCAAAACCAGTTCAAGCAGTATTGCAGCTCTGATTCAGTAAGGTCCTAATTAAAGTGACTAATTTCAAGAACATAAATAATACCACTGGAGGGGATGTCTAAAGAATTGGAGGCAAGTGGAATATTTTAGGGGTCAATAAAGGGGCCAATACTGTTTATTTAACATCATCACTAATGACCTGGATGACAGGACAGAGTGCAAGCTTAGCAAGTTTGCAGACGATTACAAACTGGGAGGAGTGGCCCATTCAGAGTGACCTGAACAGGCTGTAGAATTGGGCAGAGAGGAATCTCATGAAGTTTAACAATGGGAAACACAGAGTCCCCCACCTGGGCAGGAATAACCCCATGCACCAGTACAGAAAGGGAACCGACTCACTGGAATGCAGCTCTGCAAAGAAGGACCTTGGGGACTTGGTGGACACCAAGCTGACCATAAGCCAGCAATGCATTCTTGTGGCAAAGGCAGCCAACAGGAATAGCACTGCCAGCAGGCCAAGGGCAGTGATCCTTCCTCTCTGGTCAGCACTGGTGAGGCCACATCTGGAGTGTTGGGCTCACCAGTACAAGAATGACATGTACATACCGGAGAGAGTGCAGTGAAGGGTCGTAGAGACGGGGGGCCTGGAACACTTCTCGTAAGAGAGAAGCATGGGGGAAGTAGGGCTCATCTTGTATGAGGAGATGCTGAGAGAGCTGAGACTGCTTAGACTGGAAAGAATGTGGCTCAGGGGACTTCTTACCAACATGTATAAATACTTGATGAGGAAAGTAAAATAGACAGAGCCAGACTCTTCTCAGTCAAGACCAGTGACAGTATGAGAGGAAGCAGATGCAAACTGAAATTCAGAAAATTCCACTTAGCCATAAGAAACAACATTTTACTCTAACGGCGATCAAACAATGGGACAGGTTGCGCAGGGAAACTGTGGAGTCTTCATCCTTCGAGACGTTCAAAACCCACATGGACAAGTCCTGATCAACCAGCTCTAGTTTACTCTGCTTTGAGCAACAGGGTTGGACTTGAGTCATCTCCAGAGGCCCTTTCCAACTTTAACCGGTCTGTGATTCAAACCGACTCAAATTTATTAGCATCTCCCTATATTTAGTCCAATTACATTTAAGGGTGACATTTTTCAGATAGTTTTGCTGCATGCAGAAAGTAAAAACCTATGGCCTGCAAAGGGAATTAAAAAAATCCTCGAAAATTTCCATTTATGAGTTCATAAAAATATGAGATAATGAAGGCTATTTACACAGAACTCTTTTAACGTGAACACTCCTTTGGAACATTTTCAAGTGTCATCAGTGCACCAATGTACTCACTAACACCCAATCTGGTAATACTGACCACAGTGGTTGTCACATTGCCTGACAAATCAATCTTTCCCTCCATTCTGAGTTCAAGAATGAGATAAGTAATAGGTCACATGTCAGAACATCTACAGCATGTGACATTAACCTGGCAGTACAGATGAAGCAGTAAGAGTCAGTCATATTTTACAGGACAT